CCCCCGCTTGGCGCGGTAGGCGTCGTATGCCCAGGGGTCGGCGATCGCCCTGGCCTTGCCGTACAGCCGGGTTGTCCACAAAGTAGCCGTGCATGTAGGCGCGCAGCAGCGGGGTGCCCACCAGGTGGGACAGCCCCAGCTTGTCCTGCGGGGAGGGGGGCGGGGAGAGGGCGAGCGGGCAGGCGGGGGGTGGGGTGAGCTGGCGGGCCTTTCAGGCTGGCAGTTCTTAGGCTCTCGCAGGCTGCACACGCCCCGGCCTGCCACCCCGACACATGCACACTCTACATCACCCAACCGCGCACACACACACACACGCACACACACAGCACAGCACACGCTCTACCATTAGGCCCCACCCAAACACCCCGAGGCGCAGCACAGCGCACTGTGTGCACCACATCGCCCCGCGCTGCATGCACAACCACCCCCAGCCCCAACTGCACCCCGCCGCACCAGGTCCTGGCGCGTGACGAAGCGGTAGTCGTCGTAGATGGTGGGGTTGGCGCTTTCCTCCAGCTCCTCCGTCAGGCTCTCCAGGAAGGAGCACCAGCGCGGCGCGGGGCCCAGCGAGGGCACAAAGTAGGCGCGCATGCGGGCTGCGGGGCAGGAGAGGGGAGGGGAGGGCCGGGAGGGGCAGGGCGGGCGTGGGTTGGGCGGGAGGGAGAAGGAGGTGGGGGAGCGGGCGGGGGCGCTGGCAAGGGCTGCGGGCCGCATGATGATGCGGGCGGTGCACGGCGGGCAGCCGCCCAGACAGCTCCGTCCAGATGGCTCCCTCCCTTCCCGACTAAACAACCAGATCGCCTCCCTCCCATCCCATTCCATCTCTCCCCTCCACACGCCCCGGGGGAGTGCCCCCCCTCCTCACCCGAGTCGCATCCCACCATGATGAGCCCGCTGCCCGGCCACACGCACACGTCGTTGATGTCGGCATCGCCCGGCTCGATGTTGGTGTAGCCCTCGCCGCTGTCGGCATCCCACACCTGCGCGGCGCAGGGGCAGGTCCGTGGGGGGCAGGCAGGCAGGCAGGGCGGAGCGGCACGATGGGCTGGACCGGCGCGCCGAGGGCTGCCAGCACCAGCACGTGGAGATGAATATTGCAATACTGCCGGCAAGGGAGGCGGGAGAGCGGCAGGAGCGGCACGCGGCAGCAGCGCCCCGCCCCCGCCGCAGCGCCGGTGCAGCGCCGCCGCCGGCTCGGCGCCGCCGCCAGCTCAGCGCGCGCCAGCTGACCTTGATGATGTGGCGGTCGCTGCTGATCACACGGTGGTGCCCGCCCGCGCCGCCCGCCGCGCCGCCGCTGTGGAACTTGATGTCTACGATCCTGCTGTCGTACATGTGGTCCTTGACCACCATGGGGCGCTGCAGGGGGCGAGGAAAGGGGAGGAAAGCGCGGCGTGGGGAGACCGCGGCAGGGGAGCAGGCGCGGGTGTCAGGGGAGGAAGGCTCCAGGGAGAAGAAATGTGTGAAGATGGGATGCTGCTGGCCACGGCCGCCAAGCCGCCCGCCTGGGAGCCTCCCTTGGGAGCGCTTGCCAACACGCCTCACCTCCACAAGCGTAGGACCCCCTACCCACACCCAGCCGCCCACACCCTCGCCCCACCTGCGACCGCAAGTCGAACAGCGCCACCAGCCCGCCGCCGGTGCCCACCGCCAGGTGCATGCCGCTGTCGTCAAAGCGCAGCGCGGTGAGGGGCTGGCCCGACGCGCCCGCCGCCGCCGCCGCGCCCAGCCTGCCCAGCGAGTCGCGCTGGCGCAGGTCGAAGCACTCAAGGCCGCCGTCGTCGCCGGCGCAGGCCAGCAGGCCGTGGGCGGGAGAGATACCGCAGGCGTTGACGGCGGGGGAGCGGCAGGTGAGCGGCGTCAGGAAGCGGCCCTCAGCCAGGTTCAGGCGGTACACCTCGGGCGCGCTGGCAGCTACCAGCAGCTCAGCAGAGAAGGGGCAGTACGCCAGGTCCCGCCCAAACTTGGGCACGCGAGCCTTGTAGTAGGAGCCGAAGCGTGCGTGGAAGCAGATGCTGCGCGGGACAAGGGGGGGCGCAGCAGGCGGGCGCCGGCTGGGGGAGGCGGGCGGGCACGTGGCCGCAGGCGCCGGCACAGGTGGCGAGGCGGTGGGGGCAGCAGCAGCACCACCAGCACCAGCAGCAGCAGCAGCAGCAGCAGATCGCGCTGTGCAACCACCACCACCACCACCACCACCACACAAACCGCCGCCGCCGCCGCCACCACCGCACACACCTCGCACCCACCTGCGGTCTGCGCACAGGAAGGCTGCCTTGGAGTAGTCGTCCGACAGGATCTGGAAGTCAACGATCTCGGCGTCCAGGTGGCGGTCAAATTTCATGGACAGCTGGGACACGTCGTAGCACCGCATCTGCAGGGCCGGAGGGTGAGGAGGGAGGGTGAGGAGGGAGGGAGGAAGGGAGGAGGCAGGAGGAAGGAGAGCAGCACGGCGCTGTGCCTGGCAGCAGGGCAGATGCGGCGCCGCGGCACCGCAAGTAAGCAGCCGCAAGCGGCGAGGTAAGGGCGTGCCTGGGGGGGGTGGTAGCCCGAGGCGAAGATGTGCTGGCCGTCGGGGGTGACCTTGATGCGCTGGCATCCCGCCGGGAACTCAAAGTCCTGGATCAGCTCGATGCGCCGCCGGTACTCCTCATCCTTGCGCAGCGCCTTCTTCTTCTTGTCCGACAGCCAGGCGGGGATGTTCTTGCCGCCCGACACGGTGTACACCTGCGGCGGGGGATGGCTGAGCGCGGGGTCGGTCCCCGCTGGGAACGGCGCTGGCAAGCAGGGTGGCGGCAGGCAGCCTGCCGCCGCTGCCGCCGCCGCCACCGCCCAGCAGGGGCTGGCGGGCGGCTCCGGGTGGATCGATCGATGCCCTGTTCCACACTGCCGCCTGCGGCTCGCCGCCTGCGGCCGCTGCTGACGACCGGCCAGCAGCCATGCATGTTGGCCCACCTTGACGCCATCGCTGGCTTGAACTTTCAGTGCCATGACTTCAAGGCCCTAACCACAACCTCCTCGCAGCCGCAGCCTCCTGTGTGCGCTGCCACGGATTTCTAGACTTCCATGTGCTCGCCCCAAGCGCTTTGCAGCTCGCCAGATGATTGAAAGGTCAGCCGTAACGATTTGCATATGCAGGCGAGCCGCCAAGTGGCCTCGCTAGTGCGCCGTCGCTTAGGTGGCGGTGCCACGTACGCCTCTACTAGTTGCCGCCCCCACGGCGAGCAGTTGCAGCGCTCTGCAGCTCCTCACATCCAACGACTGAGAGAACGCACTGAACTAGGGATTTACAGCTGCCGGGGCAAAACGGGAGAGCGGCAGTGCAAGCGGGGGCGGAGGGGGAGGTGGCGGGGCGGCGCCGCCGGCAACAGGCGGGCAGCAGAAAGGAAAAATACCTCATCTCGGGTGGCACAGGGCAAGGGAAGACGCAGACAGAGTGAGCAGATGGTGGGAAATCAAATACGCAAGCTTGGAAATAGGCACGGGCGCGGGCCGACGGGCGCCGCCGCGGCCGGGCCAGCTCGCCCAGCCCTCGGCCGCGGGGCGCGCGCCCCTCGGTCGACACAGCCTCGGGCGGCTGCTCACGCGTGCACGGTGGCCGGGCGCTTGCTGGTCTTGATGCCCTGGATGGCGGCTGCGTAGTCCTTGGCGCCAAACACGCCGCTGCCGGACACAATGGCGTTGGCGCCCGCCTCAATCACGAGGTAGGCGTTGTCGGGGGTCACGCCGCCGTCCACCTCAATCCACGGGTTGCACCCCTTCTCCAGGCACATCGCCTTGAGCTTGGCGATCTTGTCAATCTGCGGCGCGGAGCGGCAGGGGGCGGCGCAGGTGAGGGAGGGCACCCACGCGTGCACCAGCAGCCCAGGCGTACGCGCAACACGGGCGCCCGCCACCGCACGCCGCACCCTGCTGCAGGCTGCTCCCACCCTCCCTGCCTCGCGCCCTCCCTGCCTCGCTCCCTCCCTCCAGCGCCGCCCCCATCTGCCGCTCCCGCGCGTGCCGGACCGCCACCCCCCACCTGGCTGTCGATAAACTTCTGGCCGCCAAAGCCGGGGTTGACGCTCATGATGAGCACCAGGTCCACGATGGGCAGCACGTACTCAATCTGCTCCAGCGGGGTGCCCGGGTTGAGCACCACGCCCGCCTTGCACCCCAGCTCCTTGATCTGGTTGACCACGCGGTGCAGGTGGATGGTGGACGACTGCTCGGCGTGCACCGAGATGATGTCGGCGCCGGCCTTGGCAAAGTCGGCCACGCGCAGCTCGGGCTCCACGATCATGAGGTGGCAGTCGAGGGGCTTGTCGGTGACGGGGCGCAGCGCGTCCACCACCAGCGCGCCAATGGTGATGTTGGGCACAAAGCGGCCATCCATGACGTCCACGTGGATCCAGTCGCACCCGGCCTTGTCGATGGCCGCCACCTGCGGAGTGAGGGGCGGGGGAGGAGGGCGCGGCGTGAGGACGGGGAGGAGAGAGGCGGGGCGCAGGCGGGCGGGCGCGCGGCGGGCGGAGGCAGCGGGCGCTGCGGCTGGCGCACAGGCAGGCGGCGTGTGCACGCGTGTGCACGCTTCCCGAGGCCCGCGGCACCACCCGGCGACGCCGCACCTGCTCCCCGAGCTTGGCAAAGTTGGCAGACAGGATGGAGGGCGACACGATGACGTCGCTCTTGCTGAAGGAGTCGACAGACACGCGGGCCTGCACCCGGACGGCGCCGCGGCAGCGGGGCGCCGCCGCCTACAAGCACACACAGGGTGCAGCACAGAGGAGGACGCTCAGGGACCTTGCAGCTGGGTGCCAGAGAGGGGCGGGAGGGAGGCCCGCCGCTCGGCTGGGCACCAAGCGGCAGCAGGTGGAGGGGGCCCGGGCGCTGCCACATTGCGTCCCAGGCAAGCGCATTGGCGCCTGTGCGCATGCCTCGAAAGTGCAGCCCGCTGTGGGCCGCCAGTTTCGGCGGGGGGCCAGCGCAAGAAGGGGCGGGACGCTGGTGGCGCAACAGGGCAGCGGCCGGGCCGCATTGTGCAGTGCGCGGCTCACCTTGGGCGCAGCAAAAGCCACGCGGGTCTGAGTGAGAGCGGCCTGCATGTTGCCCTGTTTGCACAAGTGAGCTGAGGAACGGCTGTGGGTTTGGATGGAATGATCAAACAGTCAGCCCAATGTGCAGCAAGAGGGGGATGCCTGTGGTGCTGGGCTCATGATAAGCCACTGCCACGGCGGCAGCCGACAGCGAGACTCATGATCGGCCGTCTCCCCTTCATCGATCACTTATTTATGCAATGCAGGCGTCCATGGCAGCTGCAGGCCTGCAGCCTCGACATGCCGTGCGAGCAGCATCCCGTGCCAGCCTCCGTGCGCCACTTAGAGCAGCCGGCAGCCACATTCAGACGGGCAGGCAAACCCTCAATGTCGTGCGGATAGCTGCGGCCAGGCAATGGCTGGCCAGGGGCCGGCAGGTGGCGCCGCGGCTTGCGGCGGCAGCAGCGGCGGCGGCGTTGGCGGCAGGAGCGGCAGCAGGGCCAGAGGGAGGAGGAGGCAGCGTCGCAGCCCCGCTGCAAGCCCTGGGAACCTTCCTGAGCAGCAACTTCATTCCCTGCGGCCTGGTGCTGGCCGTCATCGTCGGCTGGCTCTTCCCGGGCCCAGGCGTGGCGGCCGCCAACGCAGACGCCGGCCTGGCCGCCACCGTCGGCATCTTTGTCATCTCCGGCCTGCTGCTGCAGCGCGGCGAGACGGCGGCTGCGGTCCGTGCCACCGCGGCGCTGGCCTATGGCCTGCTGGCCATCCTGGCCGTCACGCCGCTGGCCGCCTTTGCCATGCTGCGACTGCCGGTGCAGCCGCCCGAGGTGGCGCTGGGGCTGGCCATCTTCTGCTGCATGCCCACCACGCTGTCCACAGGGGTCACGCTGACCGTGGCCAGCAGCGGCAACGCAGCCGTGGCGCTGCTGCTGACCGTGGCGTCAAACATGCTCTCGGTGAGGCTGGCAAGCTGCCGTGCTGGTCGCATGTGCGTCTGTCGCATGGCACGCGCCTGCGGTCTGCTGCCGTGGTCTGCTGCCTGCATTGCTGCCTGCCGCCCAGGCAAGCCATGAGCTGGGATCCCCATGCCATGCCGCAGGTGTTCACCATCCCTGCCATGCTGTCAATTGTGCTGGGCAGCGGCGCAGGGGTGCCGCACTTTGACGCGCTGCGCCTCTTCCGCAACCTGGTGGCGACGGTGCTTGTGCCGCTGCTGGCGGGGGCGGCCACGCAGGCCATCATCCCAGGCGCGTGCTGCTGCTGGAAGCCCAGGGCAACGGTCTCTCTGTGGGTGCGCACATTGTGTGCGTGTGGCCAGAGCAGCCCAGCTCCTGGCATGCTCACCTGTGCCACACCTGCCCATGTCTGCAGGCGCCCACCTGTGGAAGAAGAGCCACCGCAGGCTGCTGTCCTACCTGTCGGCCGTCTGCCTGTGCACCGTGCCCTACATGCAAGTCTCCAAGGCCTCGGCGGCGCGCCTGCCGCTGACCTTCGCCACCCTGGCCACTGCCGCCGTGGCGGCCCTGGGCCTGCACCTGGTGCTGCTGGCGGCCAACCTGGGCGCCACACGGCTGCTGCGCTTCAGCCCAGACCCCGCCCAGCACATCGCCATCCGAAAGGCGGTGGTGCTGTGCTCCAGCCAGAAGACGCTGCCGGTGGCGGTGGCGGTGCTGACGCAGCTGTCGGGTGCGCTGGGCGCGGCCGTCGGCTTCGCCGTCCTCCCCTGCGTGCTGGCGCACCTCATCCAGACCGTGTTCGACTCGGCTGTGGTGTCACGGTGGAATGCGCGGGAAGCGCGGGGCATGCCTGCCCTGAACTGAGCTGGCTTCCCGACCGACCAAACTGACTGATGATCCCGAACAGACCCATTTTTTCACAGCTTGTGACCGACACAGCATTGTTCTTGCATTTTACTCCCAACAATGTTGCTGTATTGTTGCAAGTAGACTCCTACAGAGTGTCAATAATGAGTAGAGCGGGGAGGGCGAAGCGTCAGATTGCAAATACTGAGGTGGCGCAGGAGGCAGCCAGCCCCCGAGCAGTTAGTCCAGCTCTGGCTCATCCCACAGCTCCTCCATGTCACGGTAGGGGCCCTTGGGGTTCTGCACGGCAGGCAGGTCAACCAGCAAAGCAAGGGTGGTGCACCTGCCAGTGTGCATGCTGCCGGGTGCCCAGCGCTCGCCCATGGTCCTGAGTCAGCCCGCGCATGTCCGCACTCACCAGCCACATGGCACCGTTGACCATGCGTTGCTGGAAAGGCAGCGTGCTCAGCGCAGCATAGTCGTCTGCCGACAGCTCCCACCCCAGCACATCCAGGTTGCCCCTGCGCCAGCAAGGCACACAGCAGCGCACAGTGAGGGCTCAACAACGCTGCCCGCCGACAGCCCATCTCCTTCATCTAAAGGAGGCGCTGCCCAGGCGGCCGGTAACCTGCTCCCCACCTGATGCGTGCAGGCGAGGTGCTCTTGGGGATGACGCTGGTACCGTGCTGCAGCGCCCAGCGGATGAGCACCTGCCCCACATTCCTGCCGGTCCGCTCCGCCACTGCCTGCAGGGCGCGACACACAGCCCACAGCTGGCTTAGCATGGAAACTTGCTTGCAAGGCAGAAGTGGCACTCAAAAGCCCGGCAGCGCTAAGTGAACAGTGCCACCAACGCCTGTGATGGCACGCCGGCGGGGCGCAGCGCCGCCTCAGCACCTGGACCGTGGCGTCCTCCATCAGCACCAGCGGCTTCTTGCGGGGGAAAATGGACGCGCTGTCTGGGGAGCCCAGCGGCGAGAAGGCGGTGACGTGGATGGCGGCGGCGGCGCAGAAGGCCAGCAGGGCATCGTTGCGGTGGTACGGGTGCACTTCCACCTGCGTTGTCAGCCAGCAGGGAGCAGCAGGTGGCTGGGCTGGCTGGCCAGCTACCCGAGGTGAAGGGAGGGCATGCCACGGCGGCAACTGCACGGCGGCGCTGCGATCTGCATGGCACCGGCCCGCGTGCCTGGCACACTGTGGGCGGGATCTGGGCGTACGACAGGATGTCCCGCAGCTTGCAGGCGCCAAAGTTGCTGACGCCGATGCTGCGCACCAGCCCCTCCGCCACCAGCGCCTCCATCGCCTGCACTGGGGGGTGCAGCGCCAACGTCAGCCGTGCCTAGTCACATGCAAAGCTGCCGCATGCCCCTGGCTGGAGCACGCTTTGTGCCTGTCCATGCTTGCCTGCCACGTCTCACGGATGGAAGGTTTCACCTCTGGCCCCACGTTGCCGGTGACCGGCCAGTGGATGAGGTACAAATCAAGGTACTGACACCGTAGTGCCTGCACAGGGTACGGCAATCCCATCACAGCACGCCCCAGTGGTTTGGATCCCTCTATCCAGCTCGCCATCATGGGCCGCTTGAGCATCCATCTGCGGCACCACCTGCCACAGAGCAGCCCGCTTGCCTTGATTGACTTGAGGCAGGCTTGCCGCACGCGAGCAGCAGCGTGGTCGGTGTTCCTGCAGCATGCACAGCCCGCTGGTGGCTGCTGATGGCATGTGAATGCCTGGCAGAAGTCTGTTGGATCCACTCACAGTCGGTTGGCCACTCACCAGACCTTGCTGCAGATGTAGAGTTCCTGTCGCGGCACCAGGCCTTTGCTGAGCACATGCTCCAGAGCATCCCCCACCTCCTCCTCATTCTGGTAGACAGACGCGCAGTCGATGTGGCGGTAGCCTGCCTGAAGCGCGATGTGCACCGCGGTGCGCACCTCCCCGGGCCCCGCCTTCCAGGTACCCAGCCCCACCGCTGGGATGCGGCGGCCGTCGCGCAGCGTGAAGGAGGGCACATCCACGCGCACATACAGCGCTCGCTGCGCAGCAGCGGTGGCTGCTGGCCGCGCAGCCACCTCTCGCTGCTCTGCCGCGGCCACTGCCGCCGCATCGGCTGCCGCCGCCGCCGCGTCGAGCCCAGCAAAGCTCAGCACCCTGACGCCGCTGGCATCCGCCGATCCAGAGGGGCCCGCCACCTCGTATTTGGCCCACCAGGGCTCGGCCTCAGCGGCCATACAAGCGGTGCCGGAACCCTGGAGATGGGCAGACTTTCGGTGGCTGGGCTGACGGCCGCGCAAACGCCTGCTTGTACTGGCCCAAGGCTGATGATGGCGACAGCAAGCACGGGATCAGTCTATGCCGCGCAAGAAGAGGTCCAGGTTTTGACTGCCACCCGATGTTGAGCTGGCCGCCGCAGAAACACACGTAACCTGGGCTGCTTCCTGTTGCTGCACTGATCGCGCAGGTCTGCCTGCGTCCAGCCTGCCAACAGCGAGGCTGCAGCGCCACGCGCCAACCCAAACTCCCAAGTGGCCGCGTCTCAAACTCAGGGAGAATGGCGGCAGACAATCCATTCATGGCGGACAATCCCTTTGCCTCTAGCAGCGTGAGTGTGGGGCGACGATCAGCTGTGCGAACGGCACGCTCTCCCTGCCCAGCCTCGCAGCCTGAGCCTGGCAGCCTGCAGCAGGGGCGTGGCAGCCAGCGTGCGCACCAGGCGGTGGCGCCGCTGCGCGGCAGGCCCTCCCACCGCTAACAAACTGCGGCCACCAGCCACCGCTGCCTGCGCTGCCAGCTGGCCCCTCAACCCGCTCCCCTTATAGGCACGCACGCCCCCCCGCAACTCCCGCCTGCAGGTCAATGGCACCGTGCCGGCGGCGGGGCCCTGGAACAGCACCGGCGGCGCCTGGGGCAGCAACAACGACAGCTACACCGCGCCCGTGGCAGCAGACGTGGGCGGCACCAGCAGCGTGGGCGTCGGCGGCGGCGGCAAGGCCGGCGGCAAGAAGGAGGCGGAGCTGAACAAGCGCGAGGCGGAGCTGAGCAAGCGCGAGGCGGAGCTGCGGCGGCTGGAGCTGGAGATCCGCCAGAACCCGGGGGCCAAGAGCACCAAGAACTGGCCAAAGTTCTGCCCCGTGCTGCACCACGACATCGCCGGCGAGATCCCGGCGCAGTCGCAGGTCCCCGTGCGCCGCGCCTACTGGGCCTACCTGGTGAGCGGGTGGATGGCGGGAGGGAGTGGCGGACAGGGAGGCCGCGCCTGCATGGCTGCTACGCGGAGCGGTGGCGCCGTTTGAAGCCTGCCTCGGTGCGGACCAGTCAGGTCGCCTCTCGTCCGACCTCGCCTGTTGCTGGCCCCCACCCCGCCATGCAGGGCCTCATCCTGTGCCTGTTCTGGAACTTCATGGGCGTCAGCGCGCTGCTGATCACCGACGGCGGCGAGATTGCGGCGTGGCTGTGGGGGGCCATCTGGATGGTGGGCGGCGTGCCGGGCGCCTACATCCTGTGGTACTCGCGGCTGTACAACGCATCCATCAAGGACTCGGCCTTTGGCTACGCCATCTTCTTCGCCGGCTTCTTCGCCAACCTGGCCTTCAGCGTGTGGAGCGCCGTGGGTGGGTGGGGGCCAGGGCGGCTTGGGGCCGCGGCATGTGTGGTGGCAAGGGTGGCCGGGGGGGCCTATGGGGCGCAAATGTGGGATGGCTGGCGGTGGTTCACCCGCTCTCCTGAAGGCGTGCTGGCTGGCTTGCCTCGCCTGCCTTTGTGGCAGCATTCGCTGCCCACGCTGCTGCGTGCTTACAGTGCATCCTGCGCGTGCGCACCCTACCTGCAGGCCCGCCGTTCCTGGGGGAGAAGAGTCACACCGGCTACATCTCCGCCATCAACCGCATCGGCGACAACACGGGGGTGGGCGTCATGTACTTCATCGGCGCCGGCTTGTGGACGCTGGAGAGCCTGTGGAGCCTGTGGGTGTACAAGCTGGTGTACCGCAGCTTCCGCGGCCACGGCATGTCGGCGGCGCAGGTCAAGCGCGAGGCCGCGGGCCGTGCCGCGTCCTCCGCGGTGTGAGCACCCCCACACATTTGCTCACCGCTCTACATGACCAAGCCTGGCGGCGGGCGCGGGGCGGAGCAGCGCGCCTGCGACGCGCGCTTGGCTCCCCTAGCGGCTGCGTGCGTCGCTCGCCCGTGCCGCCGCCCTTCTTCCTTCCCTGACTGCTGCTGACCTCTGCCCGCTGCCTCCCTCTCCTTTCGTCTGATGTGTTGTTGTGTTCTTCAGCCATGTTACCCCTTGCCCCTCCCCCTGTTTTGTTCTCTTGTTCTTTGGTTGCTATTTTTCGGCGTGGTCACAGCGGGGGTGCGGCTGCGCCCTGGCCGCCGCCGCCGTCTCACACCTGGAGACGGCCAGGCGCTTGCCAACTTGTGAGATTGAGCGCCGTCACGCCGCAACAGTCGAGGGCAGCTGGCTGTCTGCGGGCTGCCACGGGCTGGCGCAGCCCTGCGAGGACAGCCAACGCAGCGCTCCTGCTGCCCCCTGCGGTCGTCTGTCCCCGCCTGGAGCGCCCCGCCGCTCAATACTTGTTCATCCGGCCACCATCGATTGCTCCGCCCGGCTCTCACACGCTTCTTCGCCGGCGGCATCCCTCCGCATCTCCGAGTGCGCCCTTCAGGGTGCAATGGAGGCGCCCCAAGACCCCCAACAGCCGCCCCCGGCCTCCCAGCAAGCGGGGTGAGGCCTGGGGCGCTCGGTGGTGCTGCGTTCGGCAGATTGGCTGGGGTGCCCCGCTCTCACGCCCGCTGCCTGCTGGCCCCGTGCAGGGAGGCCCTGACGACGCCCTCGCCGTCCCGCAAGCTGACCAGCGCCTCGGTCAGGGCTGACCTAGTGGTGCGCCGCACGGGCCGCCGGCGCCTCGGGACTCGCGCCGCGACTTGCTGCGCTGCCGCTCACCATTCCCCCTTTGTAATGCTGAGATCAACCCACCATATGTTCTGCCTTCCATTTGACTGCTGTTTGGTGCAGGCCCATATACGCGGGCTAGCCGAGGCGTGCGGCGCGGTGCCCGACATCTGCAAGCGGCGAGCGCCCGGCGAGCCAGACCTGGCAGTGGGCGCGCAGGTGCGCTGCTGCTGCTGCGCATTGGATTGATGCGTGCTGGCAGCAAGAACACCAGAGCTAGTGGGAAAACCTGAATCGGATTTGGAGGGCCTGCGGTGCCTTGGGCGCCGCCCCGCTTTGGAAGGCACCATTGCGGCAGCAACCAGCCGCATCAGTTCTCAGCCCCCCCCTCACTTGTGTGTCTCCCGTCTCCTGCACGACTGCAGGTGGCGGACTGGGAGCAGCTGCGGCGCCGCAAGGAATTCGACCTGCTGCAGGCCTACCCCGCGGCCGGCCTGCACCCTTCCACCTTTGTGCCCACGTCGCAGGCGGTGCCGGCGCTGCCCGACTCCGCAGCAGCAGCAGTCACGGCGGCCGCCGCAGCTGCAGCAGCCCTGCCGGTGCCGGTGCCGGCCATGGTGCCGGCCTCGGGCTCGGTTCCACTGGTGCCCGCGATGCCGGCGCCTGCGGCGATGCCGGCGGAGCGCCAGGCTGGCGGCGGCGTGCGCCAGGTGGGCAAGATCACCAAGGCCAACAAGCAGAAGTCGGGGGGCAGGACCTTCACCTCCAAGTACCGCGGGGTGCACCAGACCTTCCCCACACGCCGCTGGGAGGCGCAGTTCAGGTGCGGGCGGGGGCAGCGGGCATGGGTGCGGGTGAGCACTGCGGGGCAGCGGTGGTGTTGCGTTGCATTGTGTTCCAGTCGACCCGCAGATGCACCCTGCCTGACGCTCGCTTCTCCTTGCCCCTGTGCTTCCCACCCACCCACAATCCCGCGCTGCCCTGCCGCAGGCGCAACGGCAAGCCCCCCAGCCTGGGCTGGTTTCGACCAGGAGGAGCAGGCGGCCCGCGCCTACGACAAGATGATGCTGTGGTGCGAGCTGCACAACGCCACGGGCGTCAAGGGCGGGTGAGCGCCTGCTTGCTGGCGTCACCCACGCTCAGTGCATCTGCCGGCGCCGCACGTCGCCTCCTCACCCACCCCTGTGGCTCAAGACTCACAGCGTTTGCTTTGTTTCCTGTGCAGCATCACCAACTTTGATGCCAGCAGCTATGAGGCGAGCGTGTTTGTGTGGCGTGGCTGCGGGAGAGGCATGTGTCTGTGGCTGGGCTGCCGCGGCGGGATCGCTGCTCACCGCTTGAGCATTTGTGTTTTGTTGCATTGTTTATTGCTTGCAGGCGGAGGTGGCCTTCCTGCAGCAGTGCACCCAGGCAAGTGGAGCTGGTGCCCTGGCGGATGTGAAAGGCGGGCAGGGCCGACACCGCGCCACCCTGCTGCACGTCGGGCCAGTCTCTAACCCAAGCGTCTAGCCCTCCCTTGTTGGCCCCTCCCTCCTGCAGGACGACCTGGTGCAGATGCTGCGCTCCGAGGGGCGCCGCCAGGCCGCGCAGCGCATGCTCAAGCAGAAGCGGGTGAGTGACGGTCTGCTGCGGGCAGGGTCGGCGGCGGCAAACGTACAGGGCGGCTGCTGCACTCCCTGCTGACTCGCCCCCGTGTGCCGGTTTGCAGGACGGGGCGGCTGCATATGCCAGGGACAATGCCAGCGACTCTGAGAACGAATAGACAGGGGCCGCCTGTATCATGCGCCCAGGGCGGCCCGGCGCTGGTGCGCCATTCGCACCATGCGTCCGCGGCGCCCTGGCGGTGCTGTTGCCTCTTCCATCGGTTTTGCTTACTTCACGCACGTACCTGTGCACACCTGTCGACCTTCCTTTTGACCGCTAACCTCCTTTGCTGATTGCTTTTACTGTCTCGCCGCTCTGCCGTGCACTGTCTGCGCGCACCCCTTGGCCTTGCCGCCGCGCACCTGCGAGCGCCATGTACGCTACGCCCCCGCTGGGGCACCGACCATTGCCCAGCCAGCTCACACAAGCTCGATGTGCTTCATTCCCCCTCAAGAGAGTTACTGTAAAGTTTGGAGCAAGAAGCAGGAGTGTGACAAATGAGAGCATGCCGCAACATGTGGGCCAAGCTACCTAGGGCAGGGGGCGGAAGACAAGGCCTGCATTCTCATGAAAAAAACAAAGTGTGCTGCAGTGCGGTTGCTGCTGTGCTGCTGGGTCTGTGCTGGTGTCCACTCCTGTTGCCGTGCTGCCGCGTGCCGCCCATCCTGCTCAGGCCTTGAGCTTCTTGGCCGCCACCCCCGCCCCCGCCTCTGCCTCTGTGGTCTTGCTGCGCCCGCGCTTGGCCTTGCCCTTGCCATTGCCAGCCGGCGCCTCGGCCTCGCCCGCCTGGACGGCAGGGCTACCGGCCGCCTTGGCGGCGGGGCTGGCGGCGGTCTTGGCATCCAGCTTGGCCTGGCGCTGCTTCTTCTTCTCCTCCGCCGCATCCTGGGTGCGCATCTTGCGCAGCGCATACTTGACCGCGGCTGCAGGTGCGGGGGAGCATGGGGAGGGGGCAAGGCGGGCGGGGGGGGGGGGACGTGAGGCGAGGCGGCGCGGGCAGAGGCGCAGCCACAGCCTGCCCCAACGCAGCGGCTGCCTGGGATGCCTCTTCCCCACTCACACCAAACCACCGCCAACAACAACCCACGCACACAACACATCACGTCACCGCCAGGAACCAACGCATCCACACGGCAGCAGCAGCGGCAGCAGGCGCCCACCGTCGTCGCCGTCCTCCTGCTCCAGAAGCGCCTCGATCAGCCCCGCATCAAACTCTGGGAACTCGCCCGCCAGCGCCTTGATGGCCGCCTCTGCGAGCAAGCACAAGGAAAACAAAGGAGGACAGGGGTGGGGGTGAGCAGGTTTGCTTGCCTGGGGGCCGGAAGCACAACTGTAATAGCGCGAGCCGGGCAGCCAGGGCGAAATGTGAGCCACAGGAACGGCCAGACTCGTGTGAACAGCAGCCGAGGCCCGGCCGCACTCAGCTCCAGCCCCGCTCACCGCGCTTGGCCGCCTCTGCGTTGACGGGCGGCGCGGCCGCCACCGCGGCGGGCGGCGCCGTGCTGCTGGGCACCTGGTGGTCGCTCACAGCCATCTCCTTGGCCCCAGACCCGTTGCTGCCGTCGGTGTTGGTGGTGGTGTGCGAGTCGCCGGCGGCGGCGGGCTTGGAAGGGCCCTCGCCGTCGCCGCCGCGCTGCTGCTGCTTGGCGGGCTGCTGCTCGCGCTGCGACTCCTGCTGCGTCGGCGCCTCCTCCTCCTCGCCTGCCTCCCCCTCCAGGCCTGCATGTCACACGCAGGGGCAGCCAGGGGCACGGTCAGGGGCACAGGCAGGCATGTTCACGCAAGCACACCGGGCCCCTGCTGCAACAGAAGCACGGCCTGCGTCGGCTCGCCGTGCAGCCAGGCTGCCAGGCTGGCACGGAGCCGTGCTCACCCTCCTCTCCCTCCTCCGCCTCCGCCTTGGCCTCCAGGCGGGCCCTCTCCACGGCCGCCTGCAGCTTGGCAATCACCGCCGTCATCTCCCGGTTGGCCTGGGCAGTCTTCAGGAAGTCACAAATGTCCACCTGCAGGCGGTTAGTCCAGCAGAGGTGCGCGGCAGGGAGTGGGGAGGCGCTGAGGTGTGCTGTGTGTGCGGTGGTGTGATGGTGACAGCGGTGGTGTGCCGGGCAGCAGGCGCAGGGGTGGAGCACTGCTTGGTGCAGGTGCAGGGGCGGCAGGGGCGGCACTACAGTGCCCCCAGGCCAGCAGGCAGGCACCCCCAGGCCAGCACCCCCAGCCCAGCCGAACCTTGCATGTGGGACAGGGCTTAAGGACCTTGCGCACACGTAGGCTGCGCCCCGTGGCGGCGCCCGCGTCGATCTCATCCGCAATCCCTCCAAACTTCTTCTCCAGGCAGGGCATGCAGAAGTTGTGGCCTGCACATGTATGTGGTGGTGGTGGTGGGTGGGTGGGTGGGGGAGGGCGTTCATACTTGAGATGGGGTGATGCGGTGGGGTGGTGCTATTGGGTGGGGAGTATGTCCAGGGGTGGGGCGGTGCGAGGGTGTGCTGGGCCTCTCACCACAGGGCGTGGACACGGGCTCGGTTGGCACGTTCTTGCAGATGCCGCAGGCAAACTCGCGCAGCGCCTTCTCCTGCTCGCTGACCTGCACCCAGAGGAGGGCGGAAAAGGGCAGGTGGGCAGGCAGGGCAGCCTGAGGCGAGGGGCCTTAGCAGTGCAGCCTCTCTCCTGCCGGGCAGGCAGGTGGTCGCTAGCTGGCGGTCGCACCTTCTTGCGGGCGCCCTGCTTGCCGGAGGCGCCACCGGCCGTCTTCTGGCTGATGGGCGGGTCGCGCGCCCAGCCCCACGCCTGAAAGGGACGATGGCAGCAGGCGCTGCTGTCAGCAGCATACCGGCACACACCCGGGAGCCAGCTGCCTTGGCCATCGACGCCTGCTGCACCCGAGCCCTGCCGCCGCCTCCCAACCAGCACAGCAGCAGCCGCGCGTCCAACAGCCTGCCCACCTCACCTGCTTCTCCTCATCCCAGTCCCACCAGGGCTTGTCGCTCATCGACACCACCTGCCCCTTGTCCGCCTTCCTCATCTCCTCCGTCGCCTCCTTGGGCAGGCTGGTCTCTAGGCCGGGGCGGTCACCCGTCTCTGCCGGCAGCCAGCGGGGCACAGCGCAGCGCAGCATGAGCACAGCATGAACACAGTGTGAACGCAGGACAGCGAGAGGAAGGGCAGCAGCACGGGCGCAGTGTGGACACGGCAGCACCAGAGCAAGGGGCAGTGCAGGAGTTGTCGAGGCGGGACAGGCTGGCGCCTGCGGCGCAGCGCGGCGCACCGTCGGAGCTCCAGGAGGCCGGCTCATTGTCGCAGCGCACAAACAGGTAGCGGCACACCAGGTAGCCCTGGGGCAGGGGCAGGAGGAGGAGGCGGGCGGGCAGGGGCGGCACGGCGTGATGGGCGCGAGCGGGCGCAGGTGGAGGGCCGGGGATGTGCCGGCAGCTGGGCAGGCTGACGGGCAGCGGCCACGCAGCGAGCCGATGCACTCCTCCAACCAGCCAGCCAGCCAGCCGGCCAGCCCTGGCACCAGCCAGGCCAGGCAGGCAGCCTGTCGGCGCGCGGCGCGCGCCCACCTGCTTGCCCTTAGTGCGCCAGCACTTGACGATACGGTAGATGCCGTCGTAGCGCACGGGGGTCTCCTCTGTGGGAGCGTAGCTGGAGCGCTTCTCCTTGTAGGAGCGAACTACGCGCACGGGCAGGCCCTTGGTGCAGGACAGCTTCAGCGCCTTGTTCATGCTCTCAAACACCTGGGGGGCAGGCAGCGGCAGCGCGTGTGGGTCAGTGGTGAGGGGGGAGGGCGGGGCGCTTGCTCGCAGCGGCATCCAGCGGCAGCTCCAGCTTTGTGGGCAGGGCAGCAGCGCAGCGCCGGCCGCCGGCGCGGCCGGCGGCACGGGGAGCCCCAGGAGCTGCAGGCGCCATCCCTCCTCCTCCCAGCCGCACCAGCGGCCCCGCACCTGGTCAAACGACTGCTCCTTGTTGGTGCGCTTGTTGCCAGACAGGTCGCGGCCGCCGGAGCCGGTGTACAGGAACCACTCTCCCTCGTCGCGGTCATCCTCATACCTGCCGGGTGCATGGGTTGGGTTTGGTGGGAGCAGGGCAGGGGATGGAGGGGTTGGTGGTGGTGGGCTGGGTCGGGGATGGCAGGCAGGCTAGCAGGGAGGCCGGCGGGCCGGCC